ATCCACTCTCTAAATCAGGTATGTTTAAGCATCTAAAATCATCTCATGAAGATTATTGACTTGGGAAAATTTTTTTATAAGAATTTTTAATTCTCTACCTTGAAGACCAGATTGCCCTGCCTGATTTCTACTTTGGGGCGATGGAGAATTGGGGGCTGGTGACATACAGGGAGACAAACCTTCTATATGATCCAGTCATCTCCTCCAATGCAAACAAAGAGAGAACGGCCACCATTATAGCCCATGAATTGGCTCACATGGTACTTGTATTTATAAAAGGAAGAAATGAGCGGTTTTACATGCATACTATGTGTTCTATAATAATATTATGGCTTGTGTTTATGGTCAGTGGTTTGGCAACCTTGTGACTCTAAAGTGGTGGAATGAAGTTTGGTTGAATGAAGGTTTCGCCTCTTATGTGTCATATCTTGGTGCAGACTTTGCTGAACCATCCTGGCATGTGGTGAGTGTTCACAACTTTCACACACTAATTAGCTTAGACCTACTGTAGCCTATCTGTCAATGGTTGGTCAATAGAGAACATGCCGGTCATAAACAGTTATTTACATCTTTTAAAGTGTATTTTGTATTACTGTATTAAACTAATGTCATGTTCATCCTTCATATCACAAAACAGTAGTTTAGCAGATTTGCCTTGGAAAATTTGAAGCAAACAAACCTGTTGTTGAAATGCGGCCCATATGACACATCTTCATTTTGGTGACCCATGTGGAGAGACTGTAAAAAAATAATAGGTGGATACATTGAGAGTTTTAAGAATGGGGGAGAAAAAAATCACCTTTGTTGAGCAGGGGGACACGTACTCGGGCTTTTTGTAATTTTCCTCAGGCAACCATGAACTGAAGTCACACAGACTGTGATGACGCATTTCAACGGACATCAACATCGTAAATACTGCAAAAAAAAATTAAATTATATTCTTATTATTTTTTGTTTTATAGTTGTTTTATTTCTGAATATTTATAACATTATTTGTAGTATATTACCTTTGCATCAAGTAAAAAAAAAAAAAAAAAGTTAACGCTGCTGTGGGGTTGACGGTAAAATTGTCTTTCTTCTGACTAATTGGCTTTATGCCCAGCTGCACTACTTCCTGAACTTCAGCCAGCTCCTTGTTTCCTGTCTGCCATTATTGGTCAAATTGATTAATCCAGGTGTGCTTGACCTCAGCAGTCATGGCAACAATAATCAGGCACACCTGAATTAATCAATTTGGCCAATAATGGCAGACAGGAAACAAGGAGCTGGCTGAAGTTCAGGAAGTAGTGCAGCTGGGCATAAAGCACATTGCGTTATCAATCTCTCTATATTTTGTTCTTTTTGAAAGTTGTGAAAACAATTATAGATATATTCTTAATTAAGAGAACGTGTAACTATAAAAGTCTTATTTGTTGCTTACTGACATGTTATTTTTCCCATAACGCTCCCACAGAAAGATTTGATCATCCTTAAAGACGTACACCGTGTTTTTGCTGTGGATGCTCTGGCCTCCTCCCATCCCCTGTCTTCTGAAGAGAAGGATATTATAAAACCAGAGCAGATCAATGAACAGTTTGATACGGTCTCCTACAGTAAGGTGCTGAACGTATGATTGCATTCACTTTGAAAAATTTATTGATTATTACCATCAAACTCAGTGTTTTTTCCCTGTAAACCTGCAGGGGGCGTCGGTGTTGAGAATGCTGTCAGACTTCCTTACAGAGTCTGTGTTCGTACAAGGACTAAATGTGAGCAAATTACAATGCAGTTGTTACATCAGATAATTACATGTTTTTAAAAATATATATATAATTTCTGATATCTGTGATCCCCCCCCCCCCCCCCAAAAAAAAAAAAGACATATCTGACCATGTTCGCCTATCAAAATACAGTCGGCGAGGATCTGTGGAATCACCTTCAAACTGTGAGTTGCATCAAAAAAGTAACCTCATACCTCATACAACAAAATTTGTTAAGAATGCTTCAAAACGTTTGTCAGTACTGCCCTCTGTTGGTTGATGAATCACTTTCATTTAATATCTCTAGGCTGTTGATAAAACTGGAACAGTTCTTCCCTTAAAAGTCAAAGAAATTATGGACCGCTGGGTTCTTCAGATGGGCTTCCCGGTAGTCACAGTCAACACTACGACAGGCCAGATCTCTCAGATGCACTTCCTTCTGGATCCTGAGTCTATAGTGGAGAGGTCATCTCCATTCAAGTAGGCCTAAACTCATCTGCAATGCTACCTGAGCAGATAGTGTTGTGTTCTGGTTTCTTTAGTGTTATGTCTATTTTTATAGTTATGAATGGATTGTACCCATCAACTGGATGAAGGCAGAGGTGGAACAGCCACGCTTTTGGCTCTTGGAAAGAACTGGTGAACAAAAATAATTTGCCAATTATTTTGTTTTTATGGTGGCATTTTGCTCATTTTGCACAAACTCACTATTTTTAAACTCACTATAAATGAACTAAAATAATAATCTATTCATAGGATTTCACAATGACATGAAGACGACTGGAAATGAGTGGGTGCTGGTGAATCTGAACATCACAGGATATTACAGAGTGAACTATGACACCGAGAACTGGGAGCGTCTCCTCAATCAACTGACTGAGAAACATGAGGTTAAGACAGAGATGTGTCATTGAAATCACAGACACAGTTCTTATTAATACATTTGACCACATTTATCTCTTTATTTTATTTTTATTTATTTCTTAAAGGTCATTCCGGTTATAAACAGAGCTCAGATAGTGGATGATGCATTTAACCTTGCAAGGTAAAATTACATAGAGGAAAAAAATGTAGAGAATTAAGTGCAATTTCTGGAGATAAAAAATATCATTTTTAATTTGAATATTATTTATAACTCTTTTTCAAGGGCAAAGATAATTCCTGTCACTGTGGCGCTAAAAACTACAAAATACTTGATTAAAGAAAAGGAATACATGCCATGGCAGTCTGCTCTCAACAACCTGGATTATTTCTACCTCATGTTTACACAAACCGATGTCTATGCACTTTTACAGGTCTGTAAAACACTTCACATATATTGAAAAAAATTCTTCTTTAGAAAATTTGGCTCAGCTATAGGTATCTAGATTAGTGTGAATTTTGAATTTCTTGTTGTAGAACTACACCAAGAAGCAGGTGACCCCACTTTTTGAACATTTCAAGAATATTACTGAAGATTGGTCACAGGTCCCCTCTAGCCATACAGACCAGTAAGAATCCATAACTTTTTTTTAATGTAATCAATGATGACATTTTCATTTCATGTCAATATTTTTCTATTATATGTATATATGTTTATTAAGCGAAATGATCTTTATTAAGGGAAATCATAAACTACTGGCACATATTAATTATTATTTCCCTCTGTGTAGGTACAATCAAGTTAATGCCATTAGATTTGCCTGCAGCACTGGTGTAAAGGAATGTCAGAATCTCACTACAGGCTGGTACAGACAGTGGATGGACCAACCCAACCACAATCCGTAAGTATTTTAATCTTCCAGTCAAGCAATTCAATATTATACTGCAGGAGATATGCAAGACAAACACAATCTACAGACTAAAGGCCCTTGCACACCATTTGCGTCCAAATTTTCGCACGTTAAAAAATAAATGCGACCTCACGTTATGTCAATGACGCCTGCACACTGCCTCCGAAACTTTCGTCCATCATAAAAAAAAAAAGTTTTTTTTGCGTTTTTCGCATCCGTAGAAAGCAGTTTGAATGGTGTTTTGACAGTTCAGAGCCACCGAATTACAAAAAAATGCACACGAAAATTTCGTAGCGATAGCGATCCACATTTATTTAATATATCTAATTCAGTTCTCTTTTTTGAAAGGATTCACCCCAATTTGAGGTCTACAGTGTACTGCAGCGCTATTGCCTCAGGGGGCGCTGAAGAGTGGGACTTTGGCTGGCGGATGTTTAAGAACGCCACCATCGCGATAGAAGCTGACAAACTCATGTCATCCCTGGCTTGTGCAAAAGATCACGTACTTTTAGAAAGGTTTGCAAGACAACATTTTTGGGAACACAGAAAATGTTAAAATCAATAACTTATTTTATTGTCATAAATATAGGTACCTTGAGTACACGCTTGATGCATCAATGATCCGTAAACAGGACGCTACCTCTATCATTGTGGATATTGCTGGCAACCCAGATGGTCAGACATTGGCTTGGGACTTTGTGAGGAAGAACTGGGCTTATATGTTCACAGAGTGAGCTTTATGAACAACTAACACACATACTGATACAGAAATGCTCATGGTCATTTTTATTCATTTGAAATGCAGTTTTATTTAATGTGATGAACAAAATTAATTTGTGTCCCTAGGTATGGTGTTGGGTCCTTCAACTTTGCCAGCCTCATAAGTGGTACAACCAAAACATTTTCAACTGAATCAGAACTTGAGCAGGTGTGTATTTTGTATTGGTACACAAATCAGTAACATTGTGAGAATTGCATTCAAAAAAATGACTGAACTATTAAACTCTATTTCTGTTTTTTTTTTTTTCTACATATATCTACATGTGAAAAGCTTCTGCAGTTCAAGAGTGACAATTCAGCGATCGGCTTTGGATCAGGGACAGCAGCGCTGGAACAGGCCATTGAGAAGACTAAAGCAAATATAAAATGGGTTTCTGAAAACCAACGAGAAATCACAGACTGGCTGGTGGCTGAATCTGCGTAAAAATATTAGACACTTTACAAATGATGTCAGTCTGCTGTGTATCTGTGAGGAAATAGAAAATAACATAACTTTAAAAAATAAAATAAAATTGTCAACCAGAAAGTATTACCAGGTGGACATTGTTTATTGAGAGAGAGAGAAAAAAACATTTAAAGTACTTTGTTTATCCAGTTAATTTCAATTGTTTGTCAAATAAAAAAAATGCTCTGTGTTAAAATAAATACTGTGAGTGAAACTTTCTTTCAGAACAACAAAACGATTATCATAAGCTGCACATTCCTGTACCACGGAATAAAAAATAATTTTAAATAACTTTTATAATTTATACTAGGGCCTATAGGGCCCTAATCTTTCTTTTGTATACATATTGTATTTCATGCTTAAATTTTGTTAACCTCCAGACAATCCACACTGTGAAGTTTTTCAATACTGTAAAACAGTAGCATCGCCGTTCAACTTTGGTTGAGTTTGTAGCTTATGAGGAATGACTTCATATATGCTTGTGCGGACAGGTAACAACAGGCATGTGTGGTTAAACTCTCAAAATAGAATGGAATGAGGAAAAGGAAATATCCTTGCAGGCAGTTGGACAAAAAAATTAAGACTAATTTCTTTCGTATTCGACGGCAACACTTGATGAACAACGTACTTTGAGAGATACTCATTTCAAAATGTGCACATAATTTTCTAAAACACGAGAGACTGAAAGAATGCAGGGCCTATGGATAGAATCATCATGTTACTTGTACTTTTACCTCCAACGTCCGCTTCAAATGGTAAGTTTCCAAAGATTGACTTGTTAAAACGTAGGCCTACTGCTATAATTAATTAAATTCAAGATGTTATTAAAGACTCATGTTTTAAACTGTATATTCTAGATGGAGTAGCTGGAATAATAGATGGAAAATGACTGTTGTTAAAACAACAACAACAACAACTGTGTTGTGTTTCAGGTCCAGGCCATTCTCTGTGGTTGCTTTCAACTTACATTCAGGGAGAAACACAATTTCCTGGATTTAGTTACACAACAACTTTGGATGACATAACAGTTGGATACTATAAGTCAGGGACGTATTTTCCAAGAGGAAATACAACGAATGAGGATGATGTGGTTAATTCAGATTACATTAAGGCTATAAGTGACTACATGTATAAGTCCTTTTTGAGAAGAGCCGAACTGTTAAGTCAAGACAGCCAAAATGACAGTAAGTATTTTTACACAAATACACATAATGATGTGACGCAATCTTTTGTCTTCCTGAAATCAAATTATACATACAATCTATGATAAGCATATTTAGGATATCTTAAAATTAGGGCTGTGCAAAAATTAATTGCGATTAATCGCATCCAAAATAAAAGTCTGTGTTTACATAATATATTTGTGTGTGCTGTATATAATTATTTTGTATATATAAATACACACACATGCATGTATATATTTGTTATTCATATATAAAATATTTATATTTATATAATATAGATTATGTATTTATTTATATATACAGAATTTAAGTGCAAATAATTATTAAATATATACATGCATGCATAGGTATTTATATATACAAAATAATTATATACAGCACACACAAATATATTATGTAAACACAGACTTTTATTTTGGATGCGATTAATCGCAATTAATTTTTGCACAGCCCTACTTAAAATGTATTTTAATATCGTTGGAGGCATACAATTAATTTGTAAACATTTTCTTGAAAATAGTTTGCCTGTGTGATGAGGGAGGCCAGTCTATGACAATCTCCCTAATTTCCCTCACAGGTCTTGATGTTTATCAGACACTGGTTGTGTGTGAGCTGCTGGACCCCAACAAAACTGGAAAGATGCTCACAAAAGATGCGGCCAGAGGCTCCACCACAGATGAGATCTGTTACTTTAACAACAATTTTACTTACAAAGTGATTTTAAATATTTCACAAGATGTGCTCAAACCTCATTTAGAAGAATTCAAACTAAAATATATAAATTTCTTTCAGCCAGTTTGTATAAGTACTCTCGAGAATTACCTAAAAAAGAGACAAAATGAAGTAAATAGAAAGGGTAAGTACTCTTGTACACTCTTAAGGGCTGCTTATGACAAACATTTTAACTGATGTGAACTGTGTTAAAGTGCCAGTTTTTATCCCATACATATTTAAAATGTTTGTTTCTGTTTTATGACGACCACATTGTAAAAAATTGTTGTGATTTAAATGGTAAAAGACTGCAGTGAAAATGTAAAAATGTCAATGATTAAATTAAGGAGATTCATTTAATCATTAGAAACTCAAAATAATAAGTTATCTTAACTAAATAAATTATTATAAAGTTGATTTGAAAAAAGAAAATATGTTGTGATAACAAATCTTGAAAATATATTTTTTACAGTGCAGTTTTCTATTCGAATTTTCGAATCAAATTTCATGTGTGTTACCATGATGGAGTTTAATGTTTGTGTGAATGATACTGTGCAGCTTCTTTATTATAATTTTCTTGAGGAAAGCTACTTCTGATGACCTTAGATTGATCATATGACTCTCATCACTGCTGTAATGGATGGTTGTCAGTGTATTACAATGATACAAAACAGATACTAATACTTCCATTTGAGGATAAAATAACATCAGATAATGTAATCTGGTTTATTGCTGTAATTTTTCAATTAAGTCTAAAACCTAAAATGCTGCTACCGCATATTTTACGATAAATTTCTTTTATTATTATTATTATTATTATTTTTACAGTGCATGGAATTCTTTTTATATCTGCCATTATAAAGTCCATATGTTTAAACAAAATCTATCCGGCTCTGAAATAATATTCTTAGTGTCAACCTAAAATCTTCACATTAACAAGCTGTCAAAAGTTCTTTGATGAACTGTATGAATAAAATAACCACTCTTTTTTTGTTCCACAGCAGCACCGATAATCAGATTTATTAAGAAAGCAAACTCAGATTCTGGAGGTTTTCGTGTGAGTTGTTTGGCGACAGGATTTTACCCTCGTCACATCAACCTGACCCTGTTCAGAGATGGACAGCCTGTACCTGATCATGAGATCACTGGAGGAGATCTGCTGCCTAATGGTGACGGGACGTACCAGACGAGGAAGAGTCTGGAGATCAGTGCAGACAAACACAGATACAGCTGCTCTGCCACACACCTCAGTCTGAACAACACACTGATCATTGAATTAGGTATGAGCTTTTTCAGAAATCAGATAAAATCTTAATGTTTTTATTTGATTCTAAATGCTTCCTCTTTTAGAAAATGAACCTTCCAGACTTCACATAGGAGTTGTTGCTGCTGCTGCTGTCCTGATGCTGGTGATATGTGTGATTGTGGCAGCCAAGGATTGTAAGGCCAAGAGGTAGGCAAATTTAATGTTCTGTTCTGGTATGTTTTCCTTCAAGATAAAATGTGATCTATTTGAATATTTACAGGGTCAATGTATAATAGAATAATAGTGACAAATGCTTAACTACAACTGTTTTCTGTCACCAGGAACATACAACATCAAGACCTCACAAAGACTGAACTAGACACAGGCAAAATATACATGCCAAACAAGCTAAACAAGAAAACAAGGAGGCGTGGTTATTCAGAGACACCTGAGGAGACTAATAGACTTTAAAAAGGAACTGCTAAACATGGGACGAGACAGGGGAACACAGACTGGAATCATAATTTTGAAGATATCCATCCATTTGAATGAGGAGCAAACCATCACATCTTCTGTTTTATAAATTGGAGACCATCACAAATGGAGGAATAATAATCTGAGATTTCGTTACCATCTGAGCCAATGCAATATGTGCTTTTAAAGCTGTGAGATTTACAATTGAGATTTATATTCATAGATGGGGAATGACACTAAATTAACAGCCGATCGTTTCTCTGTAATATATTTTTGTTTACAAAGAATTTATTTATTTATAGACATCTCTGTTGTCAAGAAGGGCCTATAGTTTCTATATCAAGTATCTTTTTATGGTGCTGTAACATATAGTGTGCTGAGCAATTCAAAGGATACAGGTTTGTTAATGGATTTATATTTTGCTAAACACAAAACCAAAACAGAATGGCATAGCCTCATCCATACCAAAATAGAGGTTTCAAAGGAATACACACACTGACCAACACTGTAGGCCTATGTACAGTAGTTTATTGTTACTGTTGCTGGGTGTAATATTGTTTTTGTGAAATCATTCTAGACTGTGCTTGTTGTTTTGCATCGGAGTTTTCTTTTGAGACTCTGTCTGGATAAACAGTTTATGTGCCTGTTTCATATTTTTATTGATTGCTTTTATGAGAACAAGGCCATTGGATGACGGGGGGTGCTGAGAGATAAATTATACATTAAAGGTTTTGGTATTTGATTTGCCCTATATTGTGGGACATTTTTTGCACTTCAGACTTCTGTGACATATTTGCCAATAATTTTGTTTTTATGGTGGCATTTTGCTCTTTCACCAGGCTGTGAATGGGACAAACTCACTATTTTCATCCATATATATTTTGGTCTATATAACATAATAAACGAACTAAAATAATAGTCTAATCGTAGGTTATCACAATGATATGAAGACGACTGGAAATGAGTGGGTGCTGGTGAATCTGAACATCACAGGATATTACAGAGTGAACTATGACACGGAGAACTGGGAGCGTCTCCTGAATCAACTGACTGAGAAACATGAGGTAAAGACAGAGATGTGTCATTGAAATCACAGACACAGTTCTTATTAAAGGGATAGTTCACCCAAAAATGAAAAGTAAGTCATTAATTACTCACCCCCATGCTGTACCTAAGACCTTCATTCATCTTCGGAACACAAATGAAGATATTTTTGATTAAATTTGTGAGGTGGATCACTGCACTTCTTCTATATAGGCTGCCTGGAGAATGAAAATTGACGGCCCAGAAAGTCAATGAAGAAAATGTTTAAATATTCCATGTGACTACAGTGACTCAACTATAAGTTTATCAAGCGACAAGAATACTTTTTGTGCGAAAAAAACTAACAAAAATAACAACTTTATTTGACTATTCCTTTTCTTCCTTGTGGGCTTGAGACAAGAGTTCAAGAGATTTCCACGACGCATGCGCGAGAATTGCGATCTTCTTCAACTACTTCAGGTCAGTTCTCGCGCATGCGGCGTGGAAATCTCTTGAACTCTCGTCTCAGGCCTACAAGGAAGAAAAAAAATAGTCGAATAAAGTCGTTATTTTTGTTTGTTTTTTGGCACAAAAAGTGCGGCGGAAAGAGCCGGAAGTGATCTCTTGTGCGGTTGCGCAAAAAAAAAAAATCAAAGTTGCCTGTTGATATATCGAAATCGTCTTCCATTGCAATTTCCTGTATATCTAAACATGTTTAGATCTTCACAGTGTAAGGTAACGCTTCCAAAATCTCTGTGTAAACAACGAGTGACGTACACGCGCGAGAGATCACTTCCGGCCCTCAGAGTACTTGGACGTGACTGTGATTACAAGAGGTAAAAACGATATAAATAGTGTTTGTTTTCTCACACAAACCGCTCGTTTCGTGTCTTAGGCCATCAATGTGTACTTACATTTACGAGTCATTAAATCATGTTTAATTTGGACTTCTCTGTGCATGCTCTTTAAGGTGGACCCCATAAACCTCCATTATATGACTGACAGACAAGAACAGTTTGACCTAAAAATATCAATATAAAAATTTATTTCAAATTGAACTATCCCTTTAAGGCTTTTTATGTTTTATCTTTGTTTGGACACATTGACGAGCATAAACTGATCTCCAAGGCGGTTCTTCAGTTCTTGAATGACACAGGACTGTAAGAATTTAGTTCAAACTTTGACCTGTGGAGGGCAGTAATATGCCCAGCAGCGTCTACACCTACTGTACACCGACTACACTACACTGAAGAAGACGCAGCCATTTTCTACCTTTGCAGGCAGCCTAACGTTACGTTGTTGCAAAATATGTGAAGACTAAAAGCATGCAGTGGAAATGGACACAATTGTGTGTATTTTTTTTACTTGCACTTTCAGTTCCATCTGCTTCAGATGGTAAGTTTTTTTTTATACATTATTAGAATTATTATTAGAATTTTAAAACCTCATCTTTTAATAAATTCAAGATGAATGAAGGTTATCACGTAGGCCTACATGTCCTCCCTGGCCCTAATAGAGCACTGGGGTAGAGCAGGGCACAACCTAAATGGGGTTAGTTGTAACACATGTGGTGGTTCAAGGTTTCCATGCTAGCATGACAAAACTTTGTGTGTGACCCATTTACTTGTTGCCATTTCAACATGCATTATGCAAATATGCATACAAAATATATGGCAGAACAAATATTTAATAATATAAAGTACATTTCTTACTAAAGTTATTTTTTCATCTCAGTTTTCCTAAAACAAGAAAGATCACTAGCCAGATTAAAATCCCAGTTGAGGTGGTGGGGCACGCAATGGGAACTTCCATGACAACTGTGTGTTGATGGGGTGTGTTGTGTTCAGCTTTGTATTTTTCTGAATGTCTGAATGCGTTTCTTCATCTATTTTGCTTTTGGTCACATTGTTTTGAACTATGTTTTATAGCTGTATTTGCAGTGCGTTCATTGTCAAACTCCAAAAGTTGGTTATTTTAATGATAATTTTATTTATTTGCAAAATATTTATTTTTGTTTGTCTAGTGTATTTTATTTTTATTAGAGCAGACAACATTTTAAGCTGTCATAGTCGTTGGGCATATGGGCATGTTGTCACTGGTCACTCATTAGCTTGTTTCATTAATACTGTGTATACTTTTTTCTATATATATGAAGTGATAAGACTTTATAAGATTTATGAAAGTGTACATAAGATTGTAAGCCTAAATTAAATTGCATTAGCAAAAAGCGGCACTTTCAGATTACGTGAATTACACTTACGAATATTTTTTCTTGAGCCTGAAAACCTTCACAAATCTTACCTTGCACGTGTGACTCTTTCTGGCATTATTATACCTTCATTAATGATAATAGTTATATTAATGACACAAGACCACATTTTTGTACTATACATGTGTGAAATTAATGTGGAAAAAAAATAAATAATTCTGAACCCCAAGTGGATTTATATAAACTGAGAAAGTCAAAAAGTGTCAAGTTGTGCCCCGATCTCCCTTACTCATATCATTTTCGTTTTGCATCAAAGTATAAGTCATTGCCAAGATTCCAAGTCTGATATTTTAAATTAAAAATAAATAAGGTGAAGCTTAAAAGTTTTATTGTATACAGTCTCACTACTATGGTAGAAATCAATCAATCAATCAAGAATCAAATCATCAATAATAAACAATAATCAATGGTAATCACCAATAATCAATTTGTTTTTCAGGTTCTCATTCTTTGAGGTTGTTTTCAACTTACATTCGTGGAAAAACACAATTTCCGGAATTTAGTGGCACAACAACTTTGGATGACATCACAGTTGGATACTTTAATTCAAAGACATATATTCCAAGAGGGAATACAACAAACGAGAATGATGTGATTGATTCAGTTTATATAGATGCTATAAGTGCCTACATGTATAACTCCTTTTTGAGAAGAGCTGAACTGTTTGGGCAAGACAGCCAAAATGACAGTAAGTATCAATGACTCAATGACATCTATCAATCCATTTTTATTTTAAATTCACGAAATGCTATTCATACTGTACATAATACATTTTTTAATGATTGATTTTAAAATTACCAGTGATCAAAGAACTGCAAGGGGACTACAAAACTAGCACTGGAAACTTAGGGGAACGGGAACTAAAATTGGAAATACTACAAAATAAGAGTCAACACACTTAGGGGAAACCGCTTTACAGAAAACTGTTTTACAAGGCAACGTTAGTTTAGGTTGTAAAACAGCATGTGGTTATTTACAGACACATTTAAGAGTTTTTCAAATTGAATTTTTCTTTAAAGCTACACTGTGTGATTTTTACCCCAATCTAGCGGTGAAAAGGTATATGACCATCCAGTGAATATTAGTTTCTGTTCCTCTCAATTTCATTTTAACTCCTACAGTGGCCAATGTAGTCCAAGATTAACATGGCTTCCAGTTCGACCTCGTGCATGAGTGTTAACTCAAACGTAAACGCGAAAGGCGAAGCCTGAATTAACGGGTATGTCCCTCATTGGCTAATGTACTTTCAAGATGGAGGGGCAACATGGCGACCGACATTAGAACCCCTCACCCGATACACTCACGAGAATACTTTATTACTTGAACGAAGTAAATATACATTAATGAGCACATATATTTTTGAAAGGACTAAGGGTTTTTAGCTAAGAATAAACTAAGAGAGTTACACAGTGTAGCTTTAAAATGGTTTGCAAAACAAAGAGAGTAAGATGAAGGTGGCCAATCCATGACAATCTCCCCTAACCATTCATTTCCTTCACAGGTCTTGATGTTTATCAGACACTGGTTGTGTGTGAGCTGCTGGACTTCGACAAGCCTGGAAAGATGATTGTTACAGATGCGGCAAGAGGCTCCACCACAGATGAACTGTGTTACATTAACAACACTTTTACTTATGTGACTGTCAATATTAAACAAGATCTGATCAAACCTGACCTGGAAGAATTTAAGCAGGAATTTGCAAATACCTTTTACCCACTTTGTATAAGAACTCTAAAGAATTACCTCATAAAGAGAAGAGATCAAATTAACAGAAAAGGTACGTACTCAAGCGGGCACATCTAAATTCCCTAAATTTGTTTTATGAAAACAAATATAACTGTTTAGAGTAAGTCTTCAGGATTAAAAATAAACCCATGTATTTACATGTAAATGTATACTCTTGTTAATTTTTCCTCCTCCTCCTCCTACAGACACGCCCAATATCACACTCACCCAAAAAGCAAACTCAGATTCTGGAGGGTTTCGTGTGAGTTGTTTGGCAACAGGATTTTACCCTCGTCACATCAACCTGACCCTGTTCAGAGATGGACAGCCCGTACCTGATCATGAGATCACTGGAGGAGATCTGCTGCCCAATGGTGACGGGACGTACCAGACGAGGAAGAGTCTGGAGATTAGTGCAGACAAACACAGATACAGCTGCTCTGCCACACACCTCAGTCTGAACAACAAACTGGACATCGAATTAGGTATGAGCTTTTTCAAAAATCAAATAAAATCTTTACATTTTGATCTCATTCTAAATGCGTCCTCTTTTTAGAAAATGAACCATCCAGAAGTCACATAGGAGTTGTTGTCCCCTTCCTGCTATTGGTATGTGCGATATCTGTGATTTTTGGCAGTTGTTTGCATGAGAACACAGAGTGACGGGAAGACAGAGACAGAGGTTGTCTTAACTTAATAGTGTAGGAGGTTTTATGATCTAATTGAATTTTTAC